ATGCAATAATAAAACACGCAACGTTTTCACAATTAATCCATCGGATTTTCCGTTACATCAGACATTGTTGCATACTTTTAGACGCCATTATAAGTGATTTTAAAACGCCAGTTATTTTTGAGATTTTCGATTGTGTTACTTGGACTATATATGTCTAGGCTAGTGAAATTTGTTTATAAAGTATCGAATTTAGCTCCTATACATTTAATTTATGATTTCTTTTTAAGGTTATCTTGATATCTCCTTAATATTTAAAATGCCGTACAATACAGCCCAATCAACTTGACTCACCCTAGATAAATTTCGTTTGTTACCCACTTATCAGGTGGTGGCTGCGTAGCCTGGTAACAAATTTAGGCTAATTAGTTGGACTTAAACGCGGCTTATGTGCCTTCTAATGGCCCCCTTGCCTTCATTTCCCTTAAACCCCTTAACTCTTTCGCCCACAAATGGTAAGCACACTTTTGGGCGGACGAGCATTTAATATATGTAATTGCAGTTGTTGTTCTTTCAGGCCACAAAACAAAAAATACCCTAAAACGTTGGAAACAATTTTTCGGGGACAAACTCAAAATGGTTGGGAAGATTCAGAAGCGGGAGGAAAAAGGGAAAACACACGCAAATTGTCAGTAGACCGCAAAACATGCAAAACATTAAGGCCACGTTTTAGCACTCACACCCCATTTTTGGCTCATCTGTTCTGCCCTGTCATTGAAGCGTAAATGAGACATTTGCGACGCTTGTTTAATTAAAATAAATTTCAATTTAATCAAAATTCGTCTGCCGTCTGAGGGAACAGCCAGCCAGCAGGACGAGTGAACACCGTTTTGGAATTTCGCATTAAAATTGTTGGCATAGTTTTTTGGGTTCTCTGAAATGGATACTGTGCCGTCATCACCCCTGACAACTGTCGCTCGGCGAGCTTTAAAATTCCAACAAACTTTTGTAACTGCCTTTTGGTTAGCACCTCTGCCCAACCCCCTCTGAATTTTGTAAGTGCCTAGCTCCGTGTCATGTCGTACAGGTGTCAATGTGGGCGTGGCACTTAATTAAATCATTGTGTCAACCTTTGATTAATAGTCATATAACAAATATTTTGAGGATTGTGTGTGACTCAGCGTCAGTTTGAGTATAACTCACTTAAGCTGAAAGTGGGAAATCCAAGAACCATTTAAAGTGGGTATGTAATATTAATTTAAACCACTTTTATCTTAAAGGCCGCTGTTAATATAAATTTAAATTTAAAGGAAAATGTAAAACCCAGGTTTAAAGAAATTGCTTTACTTTGAAAATGTTAAACTCTTAAACAACTTTATTTTATTGGGTGTGCCACACAAGTCACTAGGGTTTTGAAATCACTTTTTAATGTATTTTTTGGTGTCCAAAAGTATGCTTCAGTATATTTTATACTCTGAACAATCTACAACGAAGTCTTTTATTCGCTGCATACTTTTAGACACCTAAACTTACATTTAAAAACGGCTTACGAAATCATAGAGATTTTTGTGATTTGCTTAATACAAAAATCAAATATTGTTCTTAAAACCAAACCAAACATGTTTATATAACTAATTTCTTATCCAAAGAAAAACAAAGCATTTGAAACTACCTAGTCCTAATAACTTTTTACAGTCGATTTACTACAACCAAAATTAAACAACCTCTCACAGACTTACACATTCTCGCATATAATTCAAATTCCTTTTAAATATTATTTATTTAAATAAGTGCTTGCCCAGCAGGCAAAAAAGTTCCTTGAATACACAAACTTTACAACTTTTATTTTACGATTTTAACACAAATGGAAGTGCGAGAGCATGAGGTAATTTAATTAAATGCTTTGGCTTGAAGGAAAAGTTGTTCTAATTTAATTGGACATTTTGTTTGCACACGCCGCGAGTATTTCAACGTGGCCATTGTTTCCATTTACATTTGCGGAATTCGCTTCCTTTTATTCGATTTAGAAGGCCGCATGGCGTATGAGTGATATGCGTATAATAAAAACGTAAGCGCTAATTGCCAAAAATGCTGGTAAATGCAATTTAAGTTTTTGGCACCGACAAATGTGTTATTGCAATTGAAAAAGGAAAGCGACCGGATGCAGTGGATGGAAAGCCCGTCGAGGCCATGAAACATGCATATTTGGGTTTAACCGAAAAATAAACATGGTTGGTGGGAGAGGGGGAGGTCAAGGGTCAGACTACACATGTATGCAGGGAAAATTCTTTTCCACACCCCTGCTTCGTTGGTTTTTTGCATGCCACGGGGCGCTGAGCCGAAAAGTATGCAACAATAAATTCTGCCACGACGGGAGCTTTTCATTTATTTGAAACACCCACCCGGAAAAACCACACCCCCACGGCCCCACTCCCCATTTTAACACCCAGAAACGGTGAGCATTCCGCCCAAAGAAAGGAAATAAAATCGGGCAAACTGTTGCCAAACTAAAAACAGTTTGTGCGCCAATTTTCTATCAATTTTCATTGGCGTTATCAGGGCAACACTCACAAAAAATCATTTTTTAGTTTCCTTTGATTTCAAATGAGTTTTTGTGTTAAAAAGTGTTTGCTATGAAAATTAGCAGTTCGTTTGGTGTCAAAAATATTATCGCTTTAATAAAGAATTATGGTTTTTTGTGGTCTGTTAAAGAATTGTTTCAACTAACCAGCTTTTGTTAAAAATGTTCGGTCTCTTCATAAATATTTTAAATATATTTTTCATAACTGTAGCTTTTTCTGACTTTATAGAAGGTTTTGTGCGAATAAATTTTATCTATTTGATTTAAAAACGATTTTTTTAAATGCTCACCGCTTTTTGTTGTGAGGAAGTTTTTGTTGTATGCTAAATTAGTAAATATTAATATTTCTTTTATCATCTGATAAACAAATATTTTTAAGTTTTAAAACTTGTTTAAAAAACTGATTGTTTTTTTACGAATTTAATTTTTGGTTTTTATTTTATGTTCAAAAAATGAACGCCAAGAAAAACTGTAAAGTTTTTCTGAGTGGAGTAAAGGCACTCTAAGTGCCAGGAAAATATTTACAATTGTACTTCTGTGTGCTGCTCAAAATGCCAGCCACTTTGATGACCCGACAGTCAAGACTGCAGCTTCTCGTTCCGGCCACTTTCGGTTTATGGCCCATAAATTCTGTCGCCTTGCCCGGCTTTTTCCCCAGCTGCATGGCAATTGATTTGCATGGCTCGGCCGGCTGTTAGTTAACAGCCAGCACAACTGTACCACATAAATGCTAGGGAATTTATGGCCGGCCAATCGAAACAATTGCCTGACTTCTGGCCGATTGCAGCCATTGAGCCACAAAGGACTCCTGCTCCTTCTCCAGCACCTGCATTTTATGGCTGTCAACTGCAACGTACTGTCCCTACCAAAAATCCAGTCTAAGTGCATTTTTTGGTCCATCTCCAGTTGAGACTGACATGCAAATACTTTCCACCGGCCGAGATAAAGTTGATTTTTGATTTGCCAGCAGACTCACTGAGCCATGGCCAAGAAGCCAGCCAAGTGGCATTTGCCCCTCCTAACCTATCATTTGACCAAGCTGTTGTTTGGTAATTACAAAAATACGATAAGGCTCGGAGCAGCCCGCTCAACTGGAAAGCGAATACAAATGCCTGGGCGAATATTTATGGCCTGCCCATGAAACTATCAAAATATAATGGAATATGTTATGCCAGATTATCGATAATTCATATTTTTGTGTTTGCCGCATTGTGGATTGATGGCTGAATGGAGAGGTGGCCAATATTTGATAATCGAGAGTGGAATAAGAAATGCATATGAATATTACAGGTTTAAAAAGCATTTTTTCCATTTGAATTTCGTTTCAAATCTACTGTTTTTATTGTTGAAAAAGTACAAGTCAACTTTAAAATTAATTACTTTAAAAAACTACTCTAGCCGAATTTCATAAATTCGTAAAGAAACAATCACACCTCGATGAGGAAATCCCACGCTTAATAAATAAATCACGATACAAACAAATCTCAAGAGTACACAAACCTTCGAGTGCTGGAAAAATAGGGGTTTTCCACTGTTGCCAAGCCATTATGCACCCACTCCACGTGGTCTGCTTTTTGTGAATAGAAATATGAAAATAATCCCCAAGTGTCAGCCCGAGAGATTAGTGACAACAAACCAAAGCCGCAGAGCGAAATGAGATTTTTCATTTGGTATCAAATATCCGCAAAACCGACCGGGAAAAACCCGAGCTGACAAAAGAAAATGTTAAAAAAGGAGAATAGCTTAAACTAGAAGTGAAATGCAACCGAGTGCAATGCTCCATGAATAGGAAAGGGAAAGGGAAAAGCTGGGGATGGGGCACAAAGTGCAACTAGGCAAATGCAAACTACAAACTACAAGCTACAGCCGCACAATGCAAATACGAATGGAACGACAGCCAGTAAATTGCAATCAATTAAATCCGATTTCTCCCGGAGCGACGCTTGGCCCATGATCCAAGTTAAATGGGTAAAGACGCTGAAGATAAAAATATAATATTTAGTGGAAAAGCATTAGAAGACATGGTTTTTTTAATAATGTTTTATGCCCACCAAAAATATGGAGGTTTTGGCTTAAAGGTTCGGAGGTTCGATACCACTTGAATGTGAATTATATATATTTAATTCAATGGATTACCTGTATCATCTGCAATATATTTGTTTTTACCGAGACACTTATTATGTTATTGCTTGAATTTTAAAAATTGTAAGTGTAAGGCTTTTTTTCACTTTTCCTATACTGAAAAAAATGTCCACTTCAAAAAAAATTTTTTTTTTAAGTTAAATGTACTAAGTTAATAAAAATAGTTTCTTATTGGTTGTTCTGAGGAAATTACAAATGTAATGTTATTTACATTTCTTTGATAACTTATGTTATATAATAAATGGGTCCTTCCAATTTTTACTAACTTTTTTGTAAATTAAACCCACTGTGCTGCATTTGCAGCTGCGATAGATGGAGCAACGATCGCCCTCATCCTCATCATTCATCAGCAGTTGTCACTGGCATTCGAAGCCGTCTGGTTATCTTCGCTTGAACTATATCTTGTCTTAATAGATTTAACTCATCTCTAATCATGGAAAATAATTTCTATTGGCGGAACAAGGTGGCCGTGGTCACTGGCGCCTCTGTGGGAATTGGAGCCAGCACAGTTCTAGAATTGGCCAATGCGGGAATGGTGGTCATAGGACTAGCTCGTCGAGCGGAGTTAATCGAAGTAATACTTTTTTTGTAATAAATCTTCTTAACCATTATAAATTTATTTAAACATTTCCCAGGCACTCAAAGATCAAATCACGGGCGAGGGCAAGATCTTTGCCCGGCAATGCGATCTTAACAATGAAGAGCAATTGACCAGTGCTTTTAACTGGATTCAGAAAAAGTTTGAGGTCATTCATGTGCTCGTCTGCAATGCTGGCATCCTTAAGGCCAACTTTCTGAGTGGTAAGCACATAGAACACTGAAAATTTGAATTTTTGGTATAATATTATTGGGGTATAGAGTCTCCAACCAAGGACATAAAGGAGCTGTTCGACACGAATGTCGTGGCCACCGCCAGCTGCCTGCGGGAGGCCCTCAAGCACATGGCTGCGGTCAAGGTTCGCGGTCACATTGTGGTCATGAACAGGTGAGTGTGGGTGTCCTTTCAGGTAAAATAATCTCTACCTTAGGTAAGGGATACTTAGCTGGAATGTCGCTGAGCTGAAAAATATCCCACAATAAATCTATTACAATAATGAATGCAGTTTAAATAGTCGAAAGAAATTCACATTGCATTTCATTTGTACAAATTGATTTAAATACTTCATGATCCCTGGAATTTAAACTGCTTTATTGTAACATATATTTATTTTTTGTTTCTTGTAATGTATAGTGGCTGAAATATTTATTTTGGTATAACATGGAATTTATAGAAGCTTTAAAGTTAAAATCATATTTAAATTTTTTGTCTGCAACAGGTGTCTAGAACTTTAAATACGTATATTTTATTCAGGGACATTTACACTTATGTCAAAACGAATTTAAAAATAATTTAAGACAATGATCTTGTAAGACCTTTAAAACCCAAATCTGGATCAGGTTTTAGAAGTAAGTCATGGATTCATTTGAACGCCATTACTTCAACTAATAACATTTAATTTGTCTTCTCAAAATAATTTACAACATTAAAAATGATTAAACAATTTAATGGTAAATTCTTTGCTTCTAGCCCTTTATGAAATGTAATAACCACATTAATTTAGAGTTCCGACTTCAACACTTGGAAAGCTCGAATTAGTTCTCCCCAAATGTAGCCTGTCCGGTAGAAAGTGTTTGAAGCTAGCTGCAAGGAGAGCCATCAAATGAAAGCTATACTTGAAAGGATTGCCTATTGACTCGAGACAATTAGATAGAGCTACAAAATTAGCACAACTGCAAACACAGAGCACTGCTCATAGTCTTCGGGGGTAATTGTTATCATTTCGGGAGCGTTGTTTGCCCAGCTGAAATGGGAAAATTGGGCTTAAATCGAAATTAGTGCAGGGGGGGGGGGGGGTACGCAAGGGCAGTGTGCATACAGTGATAGAGTCGGAGGTAAATCATTTTCGTACATATTTGCTTTATAGTTTTGCTTGTGCTGGGCAAACAACTGACCAAAAGCCGCTGCCTTGAGTGGCAAAATATTTACCAAATTATGTCCTACAGGGTGTTGCATGGGCGTGGCTTAGCAGGGGGGGGGGGGCTCAGCCGATCAGCGGGGGGTTGGGTGGCTTAATGAAAGTGCAAACAATGCAGCCGGTCAGTCAATAGCCGAGTTCGGAGTTGGTCAGCTCAATGCATTTTGCATGGGCGGGGATTTCGCACAAAGGAGAAGGGTTCGAAGTGGTTGGCGCGTTATTTAAATTAAATTAAAAGCCATGCGGCAAACAAACAGCACAACAGCACAAACATTTATTGATATTTAAATGCTGAAAACGCTGAAAGCAGAAGGGGCACGCACCGTGTTTTTGCGGTGCGGGTGGTGCATTAAAAGCTTTGCATGGCCAATGTGTTTGTCCCAAACAACTCCAACAGCAACAACAGCAACAACAACTCAATTATTCAACATAATTAAGTATATTGCATTAAGCCGAATGCGTATTGCATTTGCATTTTGCATTTTGCATTCCTCCATTGGCAGTCGTCGATGTGATTTTTATTATTTCATGGAATCCAATGCGTACCGCATTTAAAATCAAAAATGTTGCGCATTAAGCCGCATGTTTGATTTGCGCTATGGCTTTAATTTCAAATTGCATTGATTTAATTTTAATGAAATTTACTTGAGTGCATACGCATACGCATACGCAAACGCACAACCACCCACCACCCAATCAGATAGCAATTATTGCCATTGCCATTGCCAATGCCATAGCCATTGCATTTTGCCCATGAGCAAAAGGCAAAATTGAATAATTGCGTATACGCACTGTGGGCGGATGGCCCTCCATGCATGAATGTCTGTTTTTCCATGGGTACATCAGTCAGCAGACGGAAATGTTAAGGCAAATTCAACAAAGCCAACGTCAATCTTATTTATTGATTGCCTTTTAGTTTATGCAAAGATGGCAATTTATTCGAGCGAATTTTGCTTGCAAAACGTTATGGAAACACAGAAAAAGATTTGATCGCTTTGATGGACATTTGACAAGGATTCATCCTAACTGATAGCTGTTTAAACTATTTGACGTATTATTTCATTGAAAAATTATAAAGGATTTAATAAACTTTTTTGCCCTTTCCTTGAATACGAATATTACATTCAATAAAATACTTTTATTTTCTATGTGAGTTGAAACTTAAAAAGAAAGAAACCCTTTATTATTATTGTGAAGAACTAAAACAATATAAAAACATATATGAAATTATTGATTCTTGAACCAGGAATTCTAAATGGTTTAATTACTTATAAACCTTCCTTTAGAAATTGATTTCTTTTACTGTTTAAATTAAATGAATATATTTTAAACGGATGACATAAGAAACCCTATTTCTTTGTGAGGAATGAATTGGTATGAAAACAGAATGCAATTATAAAATCGGAAATAATCGATATTTGAAGATGAATCGAAATTATTGTGGAAGTTCTAGGGACTTTCCACCGGCCCTTGAGTTACATACCTCCACATCCTGACTACTTTTAGCCACGCAGTCGGAAAGTGCAACATGGTAGTGCATTAAAGACACACCGTAAATACGCATTTTCCGGAATTTTCATACGCATTTTTCCGGCATAATGAGCAGCGGACACAAGCGTATTGTCCGCCATCGAATACAATTGAGAATTGCGGACCGGTGGGAAAAGCGGTAAGGCGGGAAATGCGGGAAAGGGCGGGGTAAATGCGACTTCGAACTTCGCAAACGTTAATTAATGAGAAAATGTATTTATTTGGCGGCGTTGCGAGGCAAAGACAATCCCGTTCTGAAAAGGTTGCTGAGGCGTTGCTAATGAGCGTGTGACGTTGCGGGGGGCGTGTGCGTGTGTGCCAGGGGGCGTGGCAGGTGGGCAAGGGGGGCGGTCGTCAATATGCATTTCGCTTAATGTCTGTGCAATAATATTAAGACTTAATTAATTAAAAAATGCAAGGGAATGCCGGCCGGCCAGCATATGCAGCGTCGCGGGCAACTGTTTGCATTAAATGCCCGAGGATCCAAGCCCCTCCCCTTAAGCACCGCCCCCTACTCTTAAAACTACACTTGAAAAAATGCCACCTTTTGATTGGCTAACAGTAATAAACAACATTGTATTGATAGTGATCTTCACTGCAACTAAAATATTATTTAAAATTACATTACCTGCAAGCAATTGTATTTCGATTGGGCTTTAATAAGCGTAGAGTTAATAATAAAATTAAAATAACTAAAAATAATATTTAAACTCTTTCTAAAAAATATTTCTGTACTTCAAACTAAAGCTTCTTTATTTTGACAAAAGTTCCTTTTTTTGAGTGTGAGGTTTAAATTAAAAGAAGTTTACGCAATGTTTGCACAAAATTCACAGCGACATATGCAGGCAGGTGAAATGCTGGACGCAGAATGCAGAAAACTGAATACTGAAAACAGGCATGGGACATCCGCACACATTCTTTGAGGCATGCAAAGTGGGTTTTCCGGGGAGGGTGGTGGTCGGGTGGTTGGAGGAAATCCCGTAGTGCCCGTCAGCTGCTGACCGTCATTTTCCGTAAGTGTTCGACGGCGACTTGTTTTTTGTTGCTGTTTTAAGTGCTCGGAATCCGTTGTGTTGACTTTATTTACCCACTCACCCGCCGTTTTTGACCCCCTCTGTCTTCTTTTTTCGATGCTCCTCCGGCGGACACATGGACATTTGACAACAGCGTGCTGGGCCATCGGATTCCGGAAGTGCCGGTGCCCTTATTCAGCGTTTATCCGGCCACGAAGCATGCAATTACGGCCCTCTGCCAAACGGTGCGCCAGGAAATACATTTTCTCAAATTAAATATTAAATTAACGGTAAGTTAAATGCAGTGCATACACGGGCGACTCATCCTCTATTATTGGGGGAAATGCGGCAAACATGACGCGTCTGGCGATTGGTAACCCTTCCTTTATTCCCGACTCCCGCAGAGCATCTGTCCTGGCATGGTGGACACGGATTTCCTCAGTGTTTACTCGCAGGCGGTGGCCGAGCTGCCCAAACTGCAGGCGAAAGATGTGGCCAAGGCCGTGTTGTATGCACTGGACACTCCCGATGGCGTCCAGGTGGAGGACATCATCCTGCAGCAGATGCGGAAGGTCAACTGAACGCCCATTGAATGCTAAGAAAATTATTTTATTACCTAAAGAAATATTGTATCTACAGTTTTTATATCTTACATTCAGAATATTAAAAAGAAAACACAATACCATTGCAATCCTTTAATGCCCTAATACGCAAAAAACTTAGAAAATTAATTCCAGTGTTCAAGATCTATTAACATTTATTTAAAAAGTATTGTAAACTTTGTTTTAAGTGATTAAAAATAACTTGTTTTGTTTTGTTATATATTTATAATAATAATATCAGATTCAAACATTTTTAAAATATAAATGTGAAAATATTTGTTATAAATAAACAATATTAATTTTAATCGAATTTCCAGTCCCTATAAAAATGATTGACGTTTTTAATAAGGTTTTTTCTATTTTCACTCTATTGAAATTCTTATTATGTTTGGGAAATAATGTATAATTTGAATTAAAATAGAGATGCCACCTAGAAGCAATCGCTAACCAGTGATGCCAGACTTAGCCAAAAGAACAGTACATAGCCAGTTCATCCACCCATGCTTAGCGAATACACCCTCCATTATTAGCGAAGTCACCCACCAAATATAGATTACCTGACATTTCTAGCCAACCGATAGCACACATCGATTTTTGCAGCTCTCGCTTATTGGTCACACTGGGCTTATGATAAAAAAACTGAGCTGACTCCAATAAAAACGTGAGGTAGAAAAAGCGAATTGGGTTGATAATTGATACACACAGCACCTGCACGGTAACCAGCAGCGAAACGCGATCAAAACGCGCGGCGGCAGCAGCAATTGCAAACGTGGCCGCCAAAAACCGAGACGCCCGCAGAAGCAGCGGGATCGAAAATCCCGAAATGCGTCCACGTAGTGCAAATTCCGAGTTGAATCCGATCCGGAATCGGATGTCTTTCGGCGCTTTTCCAGGTCGAGGGCGCGGCTGAAACGGGGTGAACTTGCGATCCCAAGTGTGATTACGAAATGTGCTTGTGCTCCAAAGGCGAAATGATATTATAAAGTATAATATGCGTGTTACCACGTAGTTCCACACAGACAGGCAGGCACAAGCACACACTCTCGCCCGCACACACACACACTCACGTAGACAGACAGAGACAGAGTGAGAGAGCGAGACAGGGAGAGGCGAAGAGAAAGAAAGAAAGTGGTGCCCAGTTGACAAAGAACAGGTTTTAACCTAATTAACTGAATAAAAGGCCAAAAAATGTACCGCTAAAAGGAAGCTATATTCGCAAGGTCCCCGGCGGTCCAGTGTGCATGTGTATGTGTGTCAAGGTTCCGGAAGTAAAGCCGCCGTAGAATTGATTTCCTATAAGCTAAACTAAGCTGTTTTTGTTGCTGTTGCTGCTGCTGTTGCGGTTGTTGTTTTTGTGGTTGCAGCTGGACATTGAACTTGAGTTTAATTGCGCACTAATCCCCATTATCTATATATCTCTTCGATCTCGTATATATATATATAGCCGTCTAGCCCAGCAGCTCTCTTCCCCCACAAAACACACACACGCTGCTTTTGGAGCCACTTACCCGCAACCGATAGCCACAAAAAACATCAGGATGTTCATCTGGGACTGGTTCACCGGAGTGCTGGGATACCTGGGTAAGAGTCGTCTACGAGGTCCCCGAATCTCTGACATTGTGCCTTGGGGCAGCGTTTCTTGAGCAAGTGCCAACAAAGCAAGCAGACAAAAGAAACCTAAAATCGACTGATGTACAGCGGAGGTCACAGTGATAGCTCTAAAATAGGCGATTATCTCGAAATCTTCATGTAAGATTGTTATTATCAGGAAAGGGTTAAGAAAAGGGTTTGCGAGCTTTTATACGACTTAGTATCACTTTTTATAGGGATTCTTTATGATTAGAAATTAGCATATGATGTAGGAGAATAAAGGGAATTTACTGATATATCAACATATCTATATGGTTTTATAGCAGTGGTCGGCAGCGGCCTATCTAGTGAGCATAGGGAAGTGTTCTGCCCATCCTCTGCTCGCTCACGTATAACGTACATGTTCGTGTGACTTCGGCATGGGTCTTCGGGTCATTTTTTTCTCAACTTCGGGGCGCTTTTTTGTTGCTGCGGCAGAGGATCTCAGTGCAAAGCAGAGAAACGTCTCGCTTCAGCACGCCGCGCGCAAACTTCGTGTTTGTTACGCTCACACTAATGCAAGGCAAACTTGTGATGGTATGTGTGTGCCGACCACTGTTTTATAGCCACTTAGTCAATAGTATAAAGACATAGTATTCGTTGCTATTTTACATAGGACAGTATGTCGATTTCTATGGATTAAATCAGAAGTAATCGCTGTTACTTAGAATATTTTGCATTGATTGATGCTTAAAACTAAATATTACTTAGACCAAATTATAGTCTCTTATGCGAATAGTCCTTAATTATTATTTATTCAGTTTAGTACATTTGGGAATTTGGCGGCAAACCCTAATTGTTGGTTTTGTCGTTCTTAGAGTTATTATTTCGACCTCAAATGTGTGTTTGCATGTGGCTACGCAAACACAAGTGATCCGTCACTGTTGTTGGTATAGCTGCGTATATTACTCTGTGGCGATTAAATAAAATACGTCTATTAAACATTTTCATCGTTCCAGGTCTGTGGAAAAAGTCTGGCAAATTATTGTTCCTGGGTCTGGATAATGCTGGCAAAACCACACTATTGCATATGCTCAAAGATGATAAGCTGGCGCAGCATGTGCCCACACTGCATCCAAGTGAGTAGCCCTCAAATGACAATTCCTAGCTGCATTTGTAATCATTAATTTTAATTATCTCCTGCAGCATCCGAGGAGCTGTCCATCGGCAACATGCGCTTCACTACATTCGACTTGGGTGGCCACACTCAGGGTAAGTGCCTAATCTTCACCGGAGCCACGGGGAATGTGCATATAAATATTTGCTATTTTCCGAACGTGACCACAACTAAATATAGATCAGCATGCAAATATCGCAGGGCGACACATGCATAGAGCCAGATCCACGACAATCAGCTTGAAATATAGCACAGCGGGTCACTCATACAGCCAGTGGGTCTACACTATGTGCATTTGTTGCGTTCAATCAGCGTCACACACTCAAACGCCTATCCAAGGAATGTTTTTACAGTGGTCTTAGAACTAGATTTGAGATTCAAGTGGGAAATATTTAGATTGATAGATATATAGACATTTTCCTCTTTTAATAGCAATATATGATTTGTTAGAATCTCCTATCGAATCGGCCACATAAAAGGGTCAAAAATGGTATCTCTATACCCACTGTTCATCTATAGGCGGAATATTTATGAATAAAATAAGTATGAAGGCAAACATTCTATATAGATAACAAACACAAACAAAATCGTCAGCTGAACGAGAACAAAAACATGTTTGTAGACGGAGAACTCATGATTTCTCACAGACGAGAACTTAGTATACATGTGTATAAATAGGTATGTTATTAAATTTGGTGAAATATTATGAAATGGCTTTTAAGGGGGCAATTATTTTTGATAAAGAAGCTTTATTATAAGTGCAACTTGTCATCGTGACGGTCGTTTTCAGTTCGGAACTGGGTAACCGTGATCAGAGTAACGTAGAGAAAGGTTCGGGAAACGCTGTCTCAACAGCGAAAAGATATCATAACTTAGTGCCTGATAACAATGATTTGCGTTTTGTGTTTACCAGTTATGTTATATAAATTATAGATTGTAGGTTGAAAAGCATCGACTATTAAAGTACGCTAATGAATCTCAATTGTATTTTTCAATATAACTTTATTGATTGCTAAACAAAATATAGCCTTAACTAAATTTCAATAGGCTTAAATTCTGCATCTACACATTGTGAAATATTAAAAAATATTTTGTTTCTTTCAGCACGACGCGTCTGGAAGGACTACTTCCCAGCTGTGGATGCCATCGTTTTCTTAATAGACGCCTGGGACCGCGGTCGCTTCCAGGAGAGCAAAAACGAGCTGGATTCGCTGCTCACGGATGAGGCGCTGTCCAACTGCCCCGTGCTCATATTGGGCAACAAAATCGATAAGCCCGGCGCGGCCAGCGAGGATGAGCTGAGAAACGTGTTTGGACTGTATCAGCTAACAACCGGCAAGGTAAACAACGCCCTCTTCCGTTCTATTAGCCACTTTTCCTATAATACATAATTCATCTTCGTTTTCGTTTGATTTGCAGGGCAAAGTTGCACGCGCCGAGCTGCCTGGCCGCCCGTTGGAATTGTTCATGTGTTCCGTGCTGAAGCGACAGGGCTACGGCGAAGGTTTCCGTTGGTTAGCGCAGTATATCGATTAAGTCAGCATTAACAACAACCTCCACAACACCATATATTTCAACAACACTCAAACCGAAAACTTGGCTACAAAATTTAAACAATTTCTGAAGTCGAAACAGAACCGAGAGGAAATGAACCCAGCCCAACCCGAACCGTCAGACTTTAAGCAAACGAAGCTGCGTGCGCAATTTCTAATTTATACAAAACAATTACAACTATTTCATAATAATAAAAAACACAAAACAAATCAATGTACAAGATAAAACACAACACAACATCAAAGTGCAAACAACTTTTCTATCTAGAACATCGGGATACAATAATAAGGAGCTGAAGAATGAAAAGAGTGCGCAAGGGAAACTTTTAATAATAATTATGAATAACAAATTGTAGCAAATTGAAGGTGATTTATTTAAGAGCATGTGCTTGCAACGACGCTGTTCCATAAATAAAATTGAGCTATCTACCTTTTATTTAAAAATATGAATTGTAAATGTCACCACTGATTTCCTTTATAGTTTAGTTTGGCTGCAAAATATTATATACACCCCAAGACCTTCCATCGCCCGTTTACCCATCTGATACTGGTATATTATATTTTAGCTAAAATTTTTAAGTTGCATGTCATCGATGTACTTTGTTTCTTTTTATACAATACGAAAGGGAAAACAATTTATAAAAATCGCATTTTGTTTGCAAAAATAATTCTAAATAAAACGGAGAAAAGTAATTTTGTAAAATAATATTCATGATTGCGTTTTGGATTGGGTTATAATTTTTGAGGAAAATGTTATTTTTTAATTCCAAGCATATCCTTAAAAAGTTAACATGACCTAAACTTGAATGAAACACAATTGCGATATAGAAATATATTGAATTTATTTATTTTTGCAGTTAAGGTTTATGCTAATGAGTCACGTTGGAGCATCTATTGAAATCAGGGAGCAGGCTTTCGATGGGGGCGAGCACGGAATCAAAGAGCCGCAACATGCTTGTCTAGGTAGAAAAATATTACAAAACTCTGGAACGGCCAGACTGCGGATGATGATGGTGACCTTAATGCTAGCTACGGTGGCAGCGGGGCAGCCGTCGCAGCAGCATCAGCTGCCGTTGAAAGAGGCGCATGAGCAAGCCTTTGCGCTTGGCCCGCTCCCTGCATCAGGAGCGCGAGGATCCGCCCATGGAACCGGATCCGGATCCTCCGCCCGCCATGCGTCGCTTCTTTTTCTTCTTGGCCGTGAGACTCTCCTGGCCACTGTCCGTGTTGGAGTCGCCGCCATCCTCGCTCTCCGACGACGAAGAGGAACTGCTCGAGGAGGAGGAGCTCGAGTTGCTAGAGCTGTCTGAGGCAAAGCCGGTGCTCTCGTTCAGGTTAATACTATCGGCGACCTGGGCCAGCTCCGGCCGCTGCTCTCGCAGCACGCGCAGCCACTTTCGGGACAATTTGGGGCGTCCGCGAACAGTCTTGTGCCAGACGCAGGGGAAGTTCGTCTGCGAACTGAAGTTCTGGGTGATGGCAATGGTGTCGTCCAGGTTGAGCACCACGTGCCACCAACCGCCGGGCACGAATACAGTCTCGCCTTCTCCCTGCAGCACCTCAATGGGGCGGTACTGCTCCGGCCAACTGGGCAGCTGAGTGCGCGGATATATAGTGCTAAACCAGGTGATGGCCTCGTCGCGCTGCTTGCCGCCCATGGCGCTGGTGACCTTTAGCAACTCCTTGGGCGTTTGGGTGGGGAACAGGCACCAGCGCTTGTGGCCGCGGATGAGCGTGTTCCAGGCACTGGTGCCCAGCGGATCGATGTGGATGCCGGTGCCGGAGCGAGCCGGTCCCATGACAAACCAGCGGTACGGCGGTCGGCGGTTCTCGCCGCAGTATTGGAAGAGGTCGTCGCGGAAGTACCGGGGCACCACATAGTCATCCAGGAGCTTGCGCCGACGGTGGTGTTCGCCGAAGCTGCTGTCGAAGATGTACAGCGGGCTGTCGTCGCGCGTGCCCTGCATGTACTCCACGTAGTACTTCATCTTCATCTTTACGCTGTAGCCCTCGTTGTCCTCGCCGCACTTGAACTTCTGGTTGCGATACTTCTTGGCCAGGCGGGCCAGTGTCCACTTCTCCAGCGCCAGCCAGCCCTCGGTGCATCCCCGGATGACCACTGGCTTGTAGGGCCGCTCGAAGCGCTCGATGAACTCCGCCTCCGGCACCTCCGACTCCACAATCCGCTCTAGGTTATCCGTGAAGTCCCAGAAGGGCTCGAACTTCTCACAGTACCGCATGGCCGACCAGGCGTTCTCCCCGTCCAGCTCCGGGCGAGCCTTACGCTTCACCTCGCGGGTGCGCTTGCGGGAACGCTTGGGCAGCTTGAATTCCTCGCTCATCCTGGTAAAATTGGCCAATTTTCAACGGCTCCTGGAAATGAAATTACAACGTGAGTGCAGTGTGACCAGGCGACGCAACCCCGAACATGCTGCTACCGCGAGTTGGGGCCACACCTGGTCACTCAGCTGGTCGTCGAAGTAGGGCTTCTGCATTGCTTTTATCAGGCCCTTCCGGTAACGGGACATATCGGGATGGAAGTGGGCATGGGTTATTACAATATCACACAATTCATTATAAATATATTTGAAAATTCGCGACAAAACATGTAATATCATTTAGTACCAGGGCTGCCAAACTGCAGCGTGACCAGAGTTATACTTTAGTGTTTTTTAAATATTAATTTTAAAGTAAAGAATTAGAGTCACTGTACAATTAATTTACCTATCATTATATAATTTTTTAAAGTTCACCACATTTAAATTCAATTGAGCTTATTTGTACACCCCTTGTGGACAATAATAATCAGCCTAACTTTTTATTTTACAAAGTAAATATAACAATAGATTTAAAAAAATAAAAATAATATATAAATATTATTTTGAAACCGTATTCAACACTGCAATTATCTAGTTAAGAAGGATAAAAACTTATACAAAGTAAGAAAACAAAAATCAACAGATTCCCGGTAAAAGTTCTGGTGTCAGTGCAGCCCTGGTTTTGGTGTGATTTCTCATGTGACAGCTGTGCTCAGAGAAAAATAATGATAAGTCAAGTTGGACAAGGTGTAGTTTTTTAGAAAAACCAGAAGGAAATTCATTGATAACCAGCATTTTTCCACTTCTTCCAGAGCTCTCCAAGGTGCCGCTTCGCATTTTAGACCACCGCGTATTTGTAAACGGCGAAATCGAAACCTTTCTGGAGAATTTCGAGGTGCGCCGCAACGACAGCGAAGTGGAGAAACTTTTCCAAGTCACCGAGACAGTGGGATCCCTGAAGTACGATCTCTCCGACCGGTGCATTGCATCCGGAACGCAGAACCTCACCCAACTGCACACGCAGGTTAACCAACTGCTGGACGGGGTCAACGCACTGCTAGCAAAGGCGAAAGTGGAGCGAACTGTTAGTGGGCCACCGCCGTAATCTCAGCCCCTTTATCATTGATTAACTGCCCTTTTCCCCGGTTTCCAGGCCAGCACCCAGTTGCAAGAGGCGCGACTGGCACGTGAGCAACGCCGGGCGGAGTTCCTGACCAATTTGGAGCACGGCTATCGCCGCATCGAAAACTCGTTCGAGGAGAAGGAGGAGGAAATCGCCGAGCTCTACTCGGATCTGCAATTGAAACTAAACATTGCCAAGTAGACATCATGCTGAAGTCGACGATCGTGGACGCTCGGGTGCGCCTGGTGCCATCGAAAAAAAGCTGGACTTCCTGGAGGCCCAGAAGGAGCACTTCCAGCAGGTGACCGAAAATGTGGCCAAGGTTATGAAGCAAAAGGGCCTTACACTGCCCGTCAGTACAAAGATTATCAAGGACAACGAGATGGTGACCAAACGTCCAAAGATCGACCAGGCTCTGCTGAAGAAAATTACTGAAAATATAGCCAACACACCTAAAAAGCCCGTCAATGATAAGCCGGATTTCTCAGAGAAGGATGATGAAGAAAATGAAGAAACAACAGAGCAGCCGAAGAATGTTCTGTATTTAAGTGACCTGCACTGGCTCTCTTCGACGCTGGTTGAGCTGCGCAGCCGGGACCATTGCCAGGTCTTTCTCCATCAGCTGATCGAATCTTGCGAACTCATTCTGCCCGAAAACAGATGAAGCCGGCGCAATCCTGAGTTGGAAGCCCGCTGTCAGCGCCTTCGCGCGGAGCAGCACAACCGGGATTACCTGAAGATGACCAAGAACGTGGACGCCGGCCTTAAGAATTACCCAGAGGATACCATTTCCTATCAGAGTAAGTGCTGGCTTGCTTAAACCAGTTAACTTACTAAATGGTTTCCTGTCTTCTAGTCAAGAGCCTCAACAAACAGATCATTGCTGTGGTGCAGTTCATCTTTTCTGTGGCCGCTGGCTTTACTTTCGGTTTCTTTGGAGTCAACTTGATGGTGGGCCCGTTGCCCTTCGGCTTTCGCATTCTGCTCGGCGTGATTGTGGCGCTCATCATAGCTCTGGCGGAGATGTACTTCCTGGCCAAGAAGCTGCACGAATACGATGAGGTTCTGGATGCACCGAAACGCAAACCGCAGCAACCGACGCCGGTGAAGCGCAAGGTGGTCGCCCAACCGCCCGCCGAGGGAAGCCAGGTCCAGAAACTGAAACCCCATGCTGACTAGACAATAAGGACTTCAAATCGTTCTTTAGTACACACATACACACATCCTTGTATTATTTCGCGTTGCAATGTTAGGTTATATAAATAGCTGTAAAAGTTTTATTCTTTCGGGATCGGGGATTTGGATATCGGTTATGTGCTACGTATGCTTGTTTCGATTATGAGCCCCAGCAAAGCCTATTCGTAGTGGTTCGGCTGTGGATTGGGGTTGTTCCAGCCTCGTCCTCGACGTCGGATCGACCACGTCCCAGCCAGGCCATCAGGTAGACGAACAAGACGAAGGCAAAATGCCGGCGGTCACCAGGAACCAGGTGCGGCGCCATGGCGGCCGGGAGGAGGGCGCATAGAAACGGCGTGTCCAGCGAGAGAAAAGTTCCGCAGGAGTGCGGCGCTGGTACTTGTTGTCGTCGCGATCCGTCCCCCCAATGGGCGACTGACGTGGCAGCAACGGTCTTCGGCTGCTGGCTGTTAAGGGATCAGAAGGAGTTATAATAATGAAAGGGAAGTACTCTTATAAAAGAGCACTTTAGGGTACCGCACCATAGTCGCCCGTGCTGGGCGGATTAAATGCATCCATTAGGAGCACGGAATGTGGACTGACGGCGTCGTGGCCATTGGGCTTCGTTCGCTCCCGCTCGCCCCGGAATGGATGTGGTGCACTTTGGTCATGTTGCTGACGGCCGCTTGGCTGGACACCTTGGCTGGCTTGATGACCTTAAGGCTGCTGCTCTGATCCTCGGAGAGCTGTAAGAGAATCCGCGATAAAGTCGAAGGAAAGAGTGAAATCCTTGTAAGCCTACCAGAGCCAGTCCCAGACCATTCCGGCCCCAGTTGACCTGAGCCAGGAAGTTCTTCAGGGCATCAGCCACCGGGGAGACCAGGTTCGAGTTGGGGAAGATCTCCACGTTGCAGGCGGGGCACTGGTGACCCGCGGCGCTGTGTTGGCAGGCAGGGCGGCTTGGCGGGCGTTCAGGCAGTCCCAGTGGAAAACATCTGGAATTGGGTAGTGCTTAGTGTCTGGATTAGTTGGAGGTGGGTGGGAGATCCTTACGGTAGCAGACGAGGCGCACACAATCGCCCTGCTCCAGTGTGGTGCCGCACAGGGTGCAGTTGGAGATGTAGTCGCTGTCCCGCAGCCACTGCAAATACGACTGCACAATGCACTGAAAGGGAGTAAAAGGCAATGTAGTCTAGAGATACAGTAAAGCTAGGATTAAGAGATTCCTACTTCGGGTGTGACTGCACCATGCAATGCTCACACACATTCACACGGTGCTCGAAACAAAATTGGTTGGTCACCAGTCGCTTGGGACACTTGCACAGACCCATATTTACAGAGTTGATTCGGAAAGCTATCGCATAGTAATTCCCAATTTAATTAAGTTTTATTTCTTTTCGCTGCTTTGATAGGATTTTTCGTGTTGGCATTCACAGATCCGACAGCCACGTATATGTTCCTGCGTTCCGGCGAATGGCAACCAGCTGACGAATGCCGCAGCGAATGTCGTAGAGGTGAATGGAAACTTACGATATTTGGGTGTTTGTGGATTTTAAAAGACCGTTTCGGTTTAAATTTTCTAAATATGACGAAAAAACTCCAGAACATTTGTTAAGCTTCAAAAAAATCAAAAACAACTTCCAAGATTACTCCTCAGTCCAACCAATCTCGCATATATTCACAGGTTATAGCAGTTACATCGCCGCAGTTGGAGCAGTTTTTAATGACGGGACAAATGCCGCAGGGCATTTGCACTAATCCCGTGGGTGGCAGTGGGGAGTTGACCGCCCGGTACACGTGGGATCCATCCTGTTGACGCACACGTTCCGCATTGCCGTCGTACACTCAGTTTTTGAGGATGGTCTCCAGGTCGGCCTCGCCAGTTTGACCTTGCTGATGCCCAGGTCCGAGATGAACTTCTGGACCTCGTTGACCGTGCAGCAGGACATTTGCTTGAAGCCAGAGGACCCTCGCGCTTCTTCTCCGCATTGTCGCGTTTCATTTGCAGAAATCGTAGGCACTGCTGGTTCAGGACATCCACGAATTCCACCTCAAAGTCCTGATCCTGGTACCAAGCGCCTCCTGTGATGGAGAGATCTGGCTCCAGGTTGTAAAGCATGTAAACCTTTTCTTGCTGGCCTGGGAGTGAATTATTTGGTATTAGATATTGGGTAAGCGGATGTAACATCGCTTAACCTACATTCACCGACTTCACCGCCTTGATGAGCTTCTTTGTCTCCAGATTCTTGAGGATCTTGTTGAGCTGTATCATGTTCAGGTTGGACTTCATGCGTATGTCTCTTATCCAGATGCCCTTGTTGCCGCCCTCCTCCACGATGCCGTAACCACCTTCTCTCGTTGTCCGCATCCTTGGGGCAGGGCGCTCTTCTTCTCTGGATCCTTGGCGCGGTACACCAACTTCTCGCCCTTCTTCAGGATCTCGATCCCTCCCTGTTGGAGCAGTATATTCAGGGCCTCCACCCGCGTGGCCGCTGGGACATCGGGCAGCGCCTTGGTCAAGTCCTCGTTGGTGGCGCCGGCTGGAATGCCCCTGAACCACAGCCAGCAAAAGTTGGGAGACCTCCGCAGCCATGCTCCCGATTTCTAATGAAGTTTTTGATTTAAAACTAAAATTTATTAAGAGAACAACACGCTTACCGTAAAAACAGAATCAAAACAAACGGTTCGGGGAGAATGGCAAGCAGAGATGTGTGACCGCACCGATAAAAAATACCACTCCGTTCAAATATAAAAACTATTTAAATTTTAAGAAATAAAATTCGTATATTATCTCAAAAGAGCCTAGAACTCACATCGAAGTAACAACAAAAACTTCAACAAATAACATTTGTTGTTTAATTTTAATGCTAGTGTAGCATAAATCGTCGGCTAATTCAGTTAAAGAAATATTAATAATATTTAATGAATGCATATTCAACAATATTTGTTTGTAAGCCAGGTGTTAATTTGACTAGTTGACTAGTAACACCGTCTCTCTGATAAGAATATAAAGGAATAACCCTGCTATTTCCTGCTCATGATTGAAAATATACCGAAAGTATTTAAAATACCGCAAACGGAATTTGAAAGTGCTCACGCGCTCATCAGCGAAAGCCGAGTCGACTGTTTTCAATCGCCGAACAGATCGCTTGCCGGACGCACTGTTTCTGATTGAGTGTTCGCTGCCTGTGCATTTAAATTGAATTAAATAATTCCAAAACAGGAAGAGCAAATACATCTCTCCGCGAGTTACCTTTATTGTTCAAAACCAGGTAATTATCAGATCATCTTGGGGTGACCTCAATCGAACCATCATCCATTTAAGCGCTGGTGAAATAAGCTGTGAAGACTTTTGTTGTTTTTGTTGATGATGCAAGCAATTTCTCCACATTATGTAGAATTGAGTTTGCCGCCTCAGAAACCCACTCATACAACCACCGGCGAATTGAATTCGCACATCATACAATCTCAACAGTGTCTCGTTAGCGGAATGTGTAAAGGTGAAATAGAAGTCATTCCATACGGAGCGCGCTCCAAGTAGGAAAACCCATACCATCGCAATCACACCCTATTAAACACGCCATCGGAACAATGCAGCAATAATAATCTCGAACTGCTGTAAACTTCCACTATCGCAATTGTTTAATTGCGCTGTGACGACGACACTTGATGAGTAATTTCGCATAAATTTCGTCTGCGCTGGGTTGTCGAAATTTTTTTTGTTGCTTTTTCGGTGTCTCGGTGATAAGCATTTGTTGTTGTAGGGCCGAGCTTAAAAAAGTAACGATGCCAACGTCCTTTCCAGTACAAGTTCAAGGTTAAATTCCCTACATACATAATACATATTACATATTCACTTAACGGTGAGCTCTGGAAAAGCACTTTCACTTTCAGAACTTTTCTCTCGTGCGTTTTCCCGGCGATGAAAGCTGCGTGAGCTTTTGTGGCACGCTTTTTGCGCATGTTACTTACGATAGGCAAAAACGAGAGACAGATAAAAGAAAAGCTATTGAAATGCTCACGCACTTGCATAATGGTAGTGCGAGCGAGATGGAGCTGTTTTTCGTGGAGGAGATTAACTTGTCAAGGTCAGCGTACAGTGGAAATGTAGGTGGAAATGGGACAGTGGGCTCTTTCACGTTTTTCGTTTTTTGACAGCTGATAATCACAGCTGACGATCGGTTTTTTGTTTACCGTCGCACACACATGCCGACATCACGTGCTCATACGGCACACATTAATTAATACTCCACGATTCGTTGAACCCTCTGTTGCGATTGCCGGCTGGCCTAGCAACGGAGCTTTGCGCCAGTTAACTCCGAAGCTTTGCGCTCTTTGGATAAACTTTTTGCATCCCCTTTTCAAAAGGAGTTAGGGTATGTTGGGATTATGGGGTATCCTGATTTTATCGAAATGTTTCACCAAATATTTTTTCACATTTTATGAGCAAGATTATAATTTCTTGAATGATAAAAAAATGTTAGAAATCCATAGACTTAAAAAAAATTTGATTCTTTAACCATTTACATATGTATATTTTATATTCAATTTTTTATCCAGATCCAATTTGAGCAATACAATTAAATAAAAAAAATTCAAATTTTCACACAGAAGTAATATGTTTTAAAGTATTAACAAAGACACCATTGACCTAATACTCAGGATTCACTTAGATTTGAATTGGCTTTTTAAAGCTATGGCCAAAGTAGGCTTAGATCAACTGAGTACCTAGGATTCCTTGGTCGCTTATACCCTTGCACATACCCTTTCTGTTCGCATTATAACGCTTCTCGCGAAAGTTGGCTCTTTAGGGGTGGCCTGTTGCGTCCGTCTCCCGCCTCTTTGGGCCCAAACTCTCTCGTGGCTCTCAGGGTTTCTGCTCTCTTCTTTTCGGGCTACCGACATTCTGAGCGCTTTTGCTGCGGCTCGGGAAATTTTCCGCTTGCCAAAAAAATCTTTGCGGCAGTCGAACTTTTTGCCTCGTCCTCGCCGCGTCCGATTTCTGATATATTCGGATTTTCGGCTCAAACTTGGAAGACAAATTGCCAAAATATTAAACTCGGCTAGCCGCGGCTTTGTGAGTGTTGTGCGTGGTGTTGTGAGTGCAGCTGGAAGATATAGTCGTCTATATCCCAAGTCCGATCTCGGTTACAAGAGCGATTCCCGTTGGTTTGGTACTGCCCGCTTGGTAGGCAACAAAATGGTGAACGTAACCATCTACGATGAGGCCCCACAGCTGAAGGTACGCCAATGTCACGGGTCTGTAACTTAGGTGAACTGGTCCATAAAGATATACATAATCAGTTGGCAGGCGGGTTTGCCCGATATCAGAGTCATTGGGGGAAAATAAGAAATTATGCAACTGCAACTGCGAAAATTCTGTCGGTCGCGGTCGGCAGAACTGACCTTCGGCGGTGCAGCGATGCCGACGACGACGTAGCTGCACACTTTTCTTCCGCATGCTGCTTTCTCTCTGCCACTCTCTCTCTCCTGCTCTGCCTTTCTCCGGCCCTCTCTTGTGGTCCACCCACATCCACCCAATCAAGCACTTCAAGTACCCACACTTTGTTTACATCAGCAAATTCTACAGCGACAGATTCCGGGTATAGGAAAGTATAGCATAAACAGTAGAAGAATATCATTGTTTTCTAGCTCAGTATGCTTAGAAATTACCTATTATTATATTGATACAGTCGAACTTCCATATCTTAACAAACCATCTGCAACCAAAGAAGACTTATTAGACTTCGAGTTCGGGGAGTTCGAGTTACGATAGTTTAACTGTAATGTGTAATAAGTTACATTTAAATTAAAGGGTTACATTTTTGTCATATCTTTGATTTTATCAATGGCTTATTTACATACAACTTACTAAAATCACAATGGAATATCAAGGCCAAGGCATCAAGTATTTCGTATTGACATTAGTTAATACTGCATTGATTAAATTAAACTACCCTACATCAAGACTCTATATTGTTTGTCAAACTATTTTTGGGTAGCGTTTAGAAAAAATCGATTGGTAGGGCCAGCATTTGGGAAAGACGACTTATGTAGGTGTGTTGCTTAGTCGCTTCTATTTATAAGCTGGTAGTAAAACTTAATTTGGTCGATAAAAACGGTATCGAAGCCTATTCGTAAAAATAACTTTGGTAATCTCGATCTTCCACGTTTTCGGTTCTTATATGCTGGGGCTCTAACTGTGTTTCATAATTTCTATTTAATATTGCTCATGGGGGTTGATTTCGATTTCATAGAACTCGTTAATTTGGCAAGAACTAAAATTGTGAAATAGAAAAGTTTTAGTTGCTATGGAAAGACTTTTGATAACTTGTGTAGTCACTTGTGCCGATATCTAAAGACAAAAGATTGGAAAACTATAAGCAGTTGTTTACAGACTTGACATTGTCTTAAATAAATAAACTTTAAAAAGATTGCACCAGTTGAAACTGGAACAGATGGCTTAAATGCCATTTTGTAACCGGCTCATCAAACTATAAATAGTAAATAAACCATTGTATAAGAAATGTAGGTTCTAATTGGCTAAGAACGGTCAATTTCCACATATAAACTCAAAAATGTGTAAACCATTCGCCCTCTATTACGATCTTGAAGCAAACATGAAAGGTGTCCAGTTCGGTTTTAAACATAGTATCCCATTTCCGTTCTTCCAGCCCAACGAAGTACCGCAAAACATGGCCGCCGGAGCTGATACCCAACTGGAGCACATGTGCCGTCTGCAGTTCGACTCGCCAGTGCCCCATGTCCGTCTGTCCGGAATCGTGTGCACCATCGGTCCTGCCTCCAGCAGCGTGGAGATGCTGGAGAAGATGATGGCCACCGGCATGAACATCGCTCGCATGAACTTCTCTCACGGATCGCACGAATACCACGCTGCCACCGTGGCCAATGTGCGTCAGGCGTGAAGAACTACTCGGCGAACTGGGCTACGAGCACCCCGTGGTTGCCCTGGACACCAAGGGACCCGAGATCCGTACTGGTCTGATCGGAGGCAGCGGCACTGCTGAAATCGAGCTGAAGAAGGGCGAGAAGATCAAGCTGTCCACCAACAAGGAGTTCCTGGAGAAGGGCTCTCTGGAGGTGGTGTACGTGGACTACGAGAACATTGTCAACGTGGTGAAGCCCGGCAACCGGGTGTTCGTCGACGACGGTCTGATCTCCCTGATTGTGCGTGAGGTGTCCAAGGACACCATCACCTGCGAGGTGAGAACGGTGGCTCTCTGGGATCCCGCAAGGGTGTGAACCTGCCCGGCGTACCCGTCGATCTGCCCGCCGTCTCTGAGAAGGACAAGAGCGATCTGCTGTTCGGCGTGGAGCAGGAGGTGGACATGATCTTTGCTTCTTTCATCCGTAACGCCGCCGCTCTGACCGAAATCCGCAAGGTTCTTGGCGAGAAGGGCAAGAACATCAAGATCATTTCCAAGATCGAGAACCAGCAGGGTATGCACAACCTGGACGAGATTATCGAGGCCGGTGACGGTATCATGGTGGCTCGTGGAGATTTGGGTATTGAGATCCCCGCCGAGAAGGTGTTCCTCGCCCAGAAGGCCATGATTGCCCGTTGCAACAAGGCCGGCAAGCCTGTGATCTGCGCCACCCAAATGTTGGAGTCCATGGTGAAGAAGCCACGTCCCACTCGCGCTGAGATCTCCGATGTGGCCAACGCCGTGCTCGATGGCGCCGATTGTGTCATGTTGTCGGGTGAGACCGCCAAGGGCGAGTACCCGCTGGAGTGCGTCCTGACCATGGCCAAGACCTGCAAGGAGGCTGAGGCCGCCCTCTGGCACCAGAACCTCTTCAACGACCTGGTTCGTGGCACCTCCACCATCGATGCTGCCCACGCAACTGCCATCGCTGCCGTTGAGGCCGCCACCAAGGCCAAGGCCGCCGCCATCGTGGTGATCACCACCAGCGGCAAGTCGGCCTTCCAGGTGAGCAAGTACCGCCCACGCTGCCCCATCATTGCGGTCACCCGTTTCCCCCAGACCGCCCGTCAGGCCCATCTCTACCGTGGCCTGGTGCCACTCATCTACAAGGGTGAGTCTCCATCATTCATTGAAATGCAAACATTCTATTCCAACCATCTTGTGCTCGCAGAACCCGCTCTTAATGACTGGCTGAAGGATGTCGATGTGCGCGTCCAGTTCGGCCTGCAGGTGGGCAAGAAGAACGGCTTCATCAAGACCGGCGATTCCGTCGTTGTGGTTACCGGCTGGAAGCAGGGCTCCGGCTTCACCAACACCATCCGCATTGTGTAAGTTTTTATTTTACTGTGTACCTAAGAAGGTGGTCATGGGATTATGGCTTATAAATTTTGAAGGGCTAAGGATCATAGAATTTTTGACATCCTTATACAGCCTAGTGGTTTTACTTTTGTGTGATATTTTTTAGAAACCTCATACTAATATATTTTTTCCTTTCCAGCACCGTCGAATAAATTGTATCGCTCAGGAAGTACCTGAATGCATCGCAGCCGCCACGGGCGTCGCGTTGATTACTGTTAATAACCAAGTTAATTTATTAATTACACAATATTCGGAATATTGGAAACTGCAGGAGGCTGCTAGACCCGCTGTCAAAAGCGCCGAAGGCCGGCCCGGGCCTCAAACAGACACACAAATATAATATACCATTGTTGAATAATATAGATTTCTTCGAAAAGTATAATAAAGTCATCACTGTATTTATGTATGTATGGAAACTTAAGTGGAATGTTATTTACAAGGATATCCAGATAATCTTATATAAATTATATTTAATGAACTGTGTTGGAAAGTTAAGAACTTACTCATCTTGAGTCATAAGTTTAAAGCTTCGTTCAGTTCATAGAAAATGTATGACTTTTTACGCTTTGACAGAACACTTTAGATTCTTTTGGCTTCGGTTTCTCAAAAATTATTCAAAATTCATCCGTACGCAGGAATTGCTTGCCTGAGGGCAAAACCACCTGTATGTTCCCTGTCGAGCCTAAGATATCGCTGCTATGCGAGCAATTGCAAAAAGAAGAAGGTGAGTGGGTGGCTGGATCTTAGGGCATCTACTAACTAATCCCCGCTAGGAACCGCCGAAGTTCCGGCTGGACCGCGGACCCTTTGCCTCCCAGTTGGATTACCAGTCGCGGCTGCAGTACCAGGCACCTGCTCTGAGTGTTCCCCTCAGCGGCATCATATGCACCATTGGGCCCTCATCCAACTGTCCGGAAGTGCTCCTGGAGCTCATCCGGGCGGGGATGCGGGTGGTGCGTATGAACTTCTCTCACGGCACCCACGAGTACCACTGCCAGACGATTCAGGCGGCTCGCAAGGCCATTGCCATGTACGTCGAGCAAACGGGACTGCCCAGGACAGTGGCCATTGCTCTGGATACCAAGGGTCCGGAAATTCGGACGGGCAAGCTGGCCGGTGGCAGTGACACCGCTGAGGTCGAGCTGAAGCCCGGGGACAAGGTCACTCTGAGCACCAAGAAGGAACTGGCAGATAAGTCCACCAAGGAGACCATCTACGTGGACTATCAGCGATTACCAGAGCTTGTGAAACCCGGAAATCGGATCTTTGTGGACGACGGACTGATCGCCCTTTTGGTTAAGGATCCAAAGGGGATGAAGTGGTCTGCCAGGTGGAGAACGGTGGTAAGCTGGGCTCTCACAAGGGAATCAATCTGCCAGGCATTGCGGTGGATCTGCCCGGCGTAACCGAGAAGGATAAGCAGGATCTCAAGTTCGGGGCGGAGCAGAAGGTGGACATGATCTTCGCGTCATTCATTCGCGATGGAAAGGCTCTGAAAGAAATTCGTCAGGCCCTTGGACCGGCGGGTGATAACATAAAGGTCATCTCCAAGATCGAAAACCATCAAGGCCTTATTAACATAGATGAAATTATCCGAGAATCCGATGGCATAATGGTGGCCCGAGGTGATATGGGTATTGAGATCCCCACAGAGGATGTTCCGCTGGCCCAGAAATGCATCGTGGCCAAGTGCAATAAGGTCGGCAAGCCCGTCATCTGCGCCACCCAGATGATGGAGTCGATGACGGCGAAGCCACGACCCACACGTGCTGAAGCCTCGGATGTGGCCAATGCGATCTTCGATGGATGTGATGCTGTAATGTTATCGGGTGAGACCGCTAAGGGCAAGTATCCGGTGGAGTGCGTCCAAACCATGGCCAGGATCTGTGCCAAGGTCGAGGCTGTCTTATGGTACGAGAGTCTGCAAAACAGCCTTAAGAGGGAAATTCGGACGAGTGCCGCCGACCATATTTCGGCAGTGACCACAGCCATCGCGGAAGCGGCTACGGTGGGTCAGGCACGGGCCATCGTGGTGGCCAGTCCGTGCGCCATGGTGGCCCAGATGGTCAGTCACATGAGGCCGCCTTGTCCCATAGTGATGCTCACGGGATGCCAGTCCGAGGCGGCCCAATCCTTGCTCTTTCGGGGCATTTACCCACTGCTCGTCGAGGAGATGGTCATTGGAAGCCTGAACTTTCGACGCATCATGCAGTCGGGCCTGAAGCTGATGGGCAAGATGGACATTCTTGAGCCGGGCCAAAAGGGATCGGTGGTGTTGGTTAATGCCATGTCCGCGGAAAAGATCACTTTCCGGCTTTTCACCATCCGTCAGCAGACCAAAGAGGAGCGGGATCAGGAGGAGCGATGCCGGAAATTGGCTTTGGAACAGCGCTGCAATGAGAGGGCTGAAAAGGAGGCCTGTAAAAAGCAGAAGCTGGCGGATGAATGCCGGAAAATGCGCGAGGCGGAAGAATGCAAGAAGAAACAACTGGCCGAAAAATGTAAAAAATCCGAGGAAAAACCAGCCGTGTGCCCGAAAAAAGAATGTCCCAAGAAAGACGATGAGATTGCGAAATGCATGCAGATGGAGATAGAGAGAAAACGGAAAGAAGAATCTGAAAAGTGTTGCAAATTAGCTCAGACGAGAAAAAACGCAGGGAAGAATTTGAGCAAATCTGCAAGAAAAACAAAGAGGAGGCTGAGAGTTGCAAGAAGAAAGATGAGGAAACCTCAAGATGATTGAGGCGGAAGTGGCCAAATTAGAAGCTGATGAGAAGGCCAAGCGTTTAAAGGAGGACGAGAAAAGGGAAGCGGAACTTATAAACTGCAAGCAAATATGCGAGCAAAAAGAAAAGAAAAAACTGGCTGAAAAGTGCAGGAAGCAGGAGCATGAAAAGAAATTGGCAGAAATGGAGAAGAAATGGAAACAGGTTGCGGCCAAGAGAAAGCAGAAAAGAGAGGCTGAGCTTTGCAAGAAAATGGCTGAGGAAAAGGTTTTAAAATCCGTGTGCAAAAAGCTGAAGGAATCTCTCACGGATCCTGACAAATCCAACAAGGGCTAAAAATAGGCTTAAATTCTAATATTCTCATTAAAACTACACAGAGCAGTTAATTTTGTAAATAAAATAAAATGTATACAAATATTAAATATAATATTATTTATTTACCATGTTTTTCTCGCTAAAACTCAATCGGAAATTTAACTGCCATAAATTTAAAATTAACAATCGATATTTCCAGGGCAAACCGGGACTTGTCGTTGGCCTATCGACAGCCCGTCTATCGAATTGCACCATGTAAACAAATCACGTTGAATTTCCTCAAATTGTGAAACATTAATGCGGAAGAAATTATAATTCGGTTTTCATCGGGAGGAGCTAGTACCATGTCATTACCCACGACCAAAAGCTACCACGGCGACGGCAACCCACGCGGTTGTCCAGGCCCGTGGAAACCTACATTCAGAACCAGAATTTGCTGGGCGAGATCGCCGAACTGGACGACATGCTTTACGACCTGGTTGTCATGCACAAGGACAACGAGTTGGCCCTGAAGCGGGTGCTTCAGTGCATCCACAACCTGTTGCAGACGAACAGCAAGTGGAACGTACGGTTCGGCCCGAAGGTGTTTCACAAACTGGTCTCCGTGGTGATCGCGGACAGCCGGGAGGATTCAGTGAGTCGGCGGCAACTTTTGGCCAATTTGCTGGTCTGCGTGCAGCTCCATGTGAGGAAGTTCCCACGCATCGAAGCCAAGTTCGTACTGCAACAGCTCTGGTCGCTCAGCCAGAGCAATGAGCACCAGCCACATGCAGCCCAGATTTTAGTCCACCTTTTCGATGATTTTTATTAACAACCTGGGAAAGGACTGCGCCCAGGAACTGCTGGCAGTGACCCAGAATCTCCTGCAGTCAGAGGTGCGTGAGGATCGCCGTTCGGCCTATTTCCTCATGCATAAGCTGCAGGAGATCAAGGAAGTGTTGGCCGCCTTCAGTGTAGCGAACTTCAGTGGAGCGCCTATGTGGGCATCATGGAGAACCTGGAGGAGCAGCAATCTCACCTGGTGCTGCCCTCTTTGAGCACGCTGCTGCCGCGCGTTGGATTGATGTCTAAAGACTTGAGTGAGGAATGGCTGGGCTGGCTAAGGATTCTGTGCATACGCCTCTTGGGCGACAACAATATCCTTGTCCTGCGTTGGACACTCAAGTACTTTCTGTCGCATTTCAGCTTGGCTCAGCTATCCCGCTTTAGTCTGCTGACAGAATTCCTGTCTGCCACCAATCGAACGCAGCTTTACAATCCGGAGGTGGCTGATTGCCTCACAGAGCAGCAAATAAATGATTTCATGGCGGAATACCCGGCGGAACTTTTGCTGGAGGCCCTCGTTGGAGTTCCGTGGCATTGTGTACCCCTGCTCCATTGGCTGAAGGGCTGGGGACTAACGCAGCTGCCGGTGGTTTCCAAGGATCTGTTATTTCAGTTAAGCGCCCGTATTCGCGTGCTTCAAAATACTGTTCTGCGTGGTACTGCTATTAACTGTGTTATCTTTTCATTAAGTGTAAGTTGATCTGCAATACTATTTTAATCCCTAATGATTTTTGCTTTTCCCAGCACACAATAGACAGTCTGTCTTTGGCCGACTACCTGCTGTTCATCGGAGTCTCTGTACAATACAATCGACCGATTTGAAGAGCATTATCGACTAATAGACAAAATAGAAAATTGCAGCGATATTGAGGAACATCTTGCTAATTTTAACAGTCGATGCTGCGAACTTGTCTCTCAAATGGACTATAAATATGATGTTTTTGTTGCGTTTTTGGAAAGATTACGGACAGTGCCAAAAAGCCAAACACGGTTTGGTGGCGTCTTTTACCCATATTTCTTCACCGGGACCTGGATAGGCCCGAGAAATATTTGGATTTCTACCGCTCTGTCTATTGCATAGATATATCTTTGCTTGAGAGTGGTGTGAGTTTGGAGCAGATGCAGCGGCACCTTCTAGATCATTTGGATTGCAAGACCAGAGAGGAGAAGTCATTTGTGCGAGAGCACTGCGTTGATCTCTTCGTTAAGATAAACCTTCCAACATGGAGCAAGTTGGAAGAGTTAAACCTTAAACCCTTGGAACTTTTGGATCAGGGCACTGAAACTACATTTTCCACCTTAACAAATATCTTGTCCTCACATAACCAGCCTTTAGCAGATGAGAACGTGTTGCCCGCTTTGATTTCGCGGGTTGGGAAGCTTAATATTAGGGAAGCGTATGTTTTAAACAAGAACAAAGTGGTTTTTTTTTCTAATATTTTATTTATTTCGTAGGCAAGCCATTCTAAAATATGCGGTAGACAATCTTACTGCAGAAGAGTATAAGAAATGCGTATTGGATATTTTGCAAAAAACCACCTTCCTTTTGGGTACCATGGACTGCGAAGAATATATAAAGCACCGGCATCGTTTGTTCTAAAAAGATTGCTGGAAGGAGAAACCACTACAGGCGATGCTCGGTAAAGGAATTAATATTAATTTAATTTAATAACAAACCTCTACATACAACGTCAATAATAATTCCACAGCATAGAACGCGCTTTTGAGCTTACGTTTGGCCAACGTCAGGATCCAGAAGCCGTGTCTCGAGGGCAATTTATTCATTATGCAAAAAACAGTAATGGCTTGGATGTTAGCTGTATCTGTGACGATTTGCTGAGAATGAACAACGAATTGTCCAGAAAGAAACCTCGCTACTTTGCCAACTGCAAGGAGCACAGAACGAAAATGAGAATTGCAACAGTTCTGCTTGACCTAACCAACAGATGGAAATGGTCGGAGGCTTTGTGGGAGGCCGTCTTGTGCCCCAGCGATCAGCCTAACATAAGTTTTATGTACGAGTACCTTGTCTCCAAAATGTTGCCTAGCATCGAGCATTTATTGGAACAACTGAAGCTACTGGCAACTCTTAAGCCCAGCCAACAAATGTCGCTTGTCTCTGTAGTCCACATATACTGCTTGTCGCGCTGGGAAAGTATAGAACTAGAACAACTATCCAAAATTTTTGAAACCCTCTTGCCTCTAACAATGGGAGCAAATTTTCAGACACGTCTGCTGGCCCAGTTGGTTTTGCATCGTATTTGTACTCAGTGCGAAGTAAGCAGGTATGTCCTGTTTATACCATTATTGTATGAAAAGTTTTTAATGATATGAATTTATTTTCAGCATTCAAATTCCATTCGCTGGTGCATTGAAGAAGTCAATCGAGACCACTTTGGGCGACAAATTGAATGAGTTTCAAGGCGAAGCTAGACTTTTGTTACCGGAGTTATGCTTAGAGTGTCCGACATCCGAGTCTGGTGCGATTCTCTGGATGACAAATACACCCTTTGATGAAAACACTAGTTTCGTTAGCTGTCGATATGCCTTTCGAGTAAAGCTTGAACGTGCTCGCGAAGCATTTAAAGCGAAAAAGTCCGGTCTAACACCGGAGCTGTCGTCGCCTTTGGGAGCATCTAACGGAAATGTGCAGAGAAAAATGAATCCGGTTGGAGATATATATCCGGAGAGTGACTTTGTGGATGCGAGCCAAGCTCCTAATAACCACGAGCTCATTGTGGTGGCTTCTCTTATAGACAAATTGCCAAATTTGGGTGGACTGGCGCGCACTTGTGAAGTACTGGGCGTTAAGACCCTGATATTGGGTCTGAAATCACAGGCAGAGAAAAGCGATTTTACGAATTTGAGGTATGTATACATGTCAAACGAATTATATAACCTTTTGCATTTAATCTTCATTTAGCATGACTGCGGAGAAAACTTTAAACATAACAGAGGTAAAGCCGGAAACTCTAGCTGAATTTCTGCTAGAAAGACAAATGGAGGGCTACAAAATCGTTGGAGCCGAGCAAACTGCACACAGCACTAACTTTGCCGACTTTAAATTTCCCAAGAAGAGCATTCTGTTGTTGGGGTAACTAGTTAGCTTGGTTAATTTTTCGAAATTCATAATTATCTATATATCTCCCAGGCACGAAAAGCACGGAATTCCAGCGGACCTGATTGGATTCTTAGACTATGCCGTTGAAATCCCCCAGTTTGGTTTAGTACGCTCTTTAAATGTGCATGTGACTGGGTCACTTTTTATTTGGGAGTATTGCAAGCAGCATTTGACTAAAGAGTAGCCCCATTTTTTGGACCCCGATTGTATAATTCATCATTGCCTTATAAAACTTAAGATTGTACATATGTACCTTTCTGTATAAATAAGACAGTATAAAATAAAAAATGTTTATAAAATTTGTATAAAATAAACTAAACCATAACGACCTAAGTATATTTGATTACTATCATTTTGAGAATTCAACAAGTAAATTGATAAAAAACAAACTCAATTTTTAAAACTTGAAAATTAGCGGCTTGTTATCGATAAATAATCAAGTGACACGATTTATTGTCGATACTTGAACAGCTGATCTGAATTAAAGCAAGAGAGAACGCTGTGGTCGATAGCCTCGATACCATAGAAACCCCTTACTCAGCTAAGGGGATTGCGAGAAAGATATACAGGCAGCAAGTATACATATATATATAGTTTCCAAGATCTCAGCGTTCATCCGGACGGACAGACGGACATGGTTAGATCGACTCGGGTAGTGACCCCGATCAAGAAAATATATATTTTGTAAATTCGGAAACATTTCCTTCTACCTGTTACCTACTTTCCGACAAATCTTATATACCCAACTACTCTACGAGTAACGGATATAATAATAAACCATCACAATGCGGCAGTGTTATTTCGACCAGCCCAATTACCCATAAGATGATTTAAAAACCAAAAAAATAATATTTAAAAAATAACAACAACCCAAAAAACAATTTCAAGAAACAGCCATGAGCTTCTCGGAAAACACCTCCGATTCGGAATGGTAAGTCCCCAAACCTAGAGAAAACTCTAACTCTTACCGAAATCAACGTTTTAGGAAGGAGGCCAGGGTGAAAGTGCAAAGAACCATCAAGCAAACCTCCAAAAGGCGCAAGGAGCAGAGGTCCCCCACGTTCAGGACCCTGAAGCCCAAGTACAACCAGAAGTTCTGCGAGAAGTGGCTGAAGATCTTCGAGCCGTGGCTGCGCCGGGCGGCCGAGGATCCCAGCAAGCCTTTCTGTCGCGCCTGCCAGTGCACCATGGACTGCAATCGCTGCCACCTGGTGCGCCACGAGCGGACCACCAAGCACAAGCGCAACCTGGAGGCCCTGCTCACCAACGGCGAGGGGGCGGCACTCCAGGAGTTCCGGATTCGTCAGCAGCGTAGCAAGTACTATCATCAGCGGAAGTCGGCCATGCGACAGGAGGAAGAAACAGTGGAGGAGCCACGGGTGGAAAGCCCGGCCTTGAACCCGCCCCCTGAAGATCACGTGCCCATGGTCGTCATTGCAGATCCTAAGTCCCCCTCTTCGGCCATCGAGCAAGTAACTTTTCCCAAGCAAGAGCTCCTATCGGAGACAGAGGTTAACACAAAACCCTCACTCAGCCTGCCAAGTCGCAGTGAGTCCTCCTCTGTCGCCTCCAATCAGGAGGGTCTCAAGCTGCTCATGCAGATCCACCAGGATAAGAACGAGCTTATGGACTCGTTCCGCGAGCTTATGGGTAGCCAAAGAACACTCAATCACACACCGCCGCCCAAGGAGAAGAACCATGTCGATCTATTCTTCGAGAGCGTCAGCTCCAGCGTGAAGGCTTTGTCCCCAAAGTTGGTGGCCGAGGCCAAGATGCGGGTATCGCAGCTGATCTGCGAACTGGAGCTGCGCGGCCTCAGGGAGAACAGTCCCAAGGAGGCGATGAATCCAAACCAGCAGCCTGGTTTTAGCGGGACCAGCTGAGCGACAAAGGTCTATGCCTGATTTTTTATCTATTTAAATAATATATTTAAATATCAAGGTGTATTTTCTGTGAAAAACTTAGTCCTACTTCAAGCGAGACCTTTAGATTAAGCTAGTCTGTTTATTAAATAAAACAATTTAAAGAAATCTAAACTAGTTTTTTTTTTGAAAAGGAAGTTGGTAATCGTACCTTTCCAATTATCGATAGCTTCGATAGTCAATCAACAAGACTGTTGGCAAATATTATTAAATTTAAGTAAATAGAGCAGTCAATTGCCTTAAAGTGTTGTATAAATATTAAAAACAAGCATGTGGAACAGAGCGGAAGTGTATGAGAGGGTGACCACACAAAACGAGGAAAACGAGCAGGAGGATATGAAGGTAAAGTTGGAAAATTCCCACATAATTTACCAGGACTAAACGCAAATCATGCATTTGCAGCACGGGAGGTCAAGCTCGCAGCACACCAATAGCATCTATATGGCTTCAAGGCGAAGTCAGCTACCCTACTCGAGGCCAATCCCCCAGAACCGCCAGGAACTGCTCGACAGCATCGGGCGGGATCGAGAGGTCCTGGGGGCCTACTTCCAAAGACTGACCTCGCAGCGAGAGGAAGCCACGTCGTCGGATTTAGCATCACCTAATCCTCCTGCTCTTCAGAGAAACAGCTACGACCTGTTTTTTGAGAGCGCCTGCATCAGTGTCAAAGGCTTGCCGCCCAAATTGGCCGCGGAAGCCAAGAGCCGCATCTCCCAGATCATCACTGAGTTCGAGATCCGCGCCATCTCCGAAATGGAAGCCCAACAGGAGCGCCAAATGCAGGCGCAACCCAGAGTGGATAGTGCGAAGGGGATTGTCTACGAGTTTCGTCCCTGCTCGTAAAGTAGGTTGGGTGTTTGCCTTAACACATCTAATACACTCACTTCACATTTGGACGTCATCTTACTCTGGACTATCAAAATTCACAATAAAATTTAAAGCGTTCTACATTTAGTAAACACACAGGCGGTCATTTGGTCGTGTTTCGGCCCTAAATTATTTAAACACGTTGATTTAAAAGTGGATCGATGGACGGAAAGCTGAAAGTATGCATCATTGGCGCCGAGGGCTGGTAGGTTTTCCGATTGCCAAGCTATAGACCCATCTGTATCCTCCGTGATTGCTTTTTTCAGGGGCTCGGCCATTGCAGCCGCCGTGAGCAATAATGTCTTGAAGGGAGACTTCGACAGCCGGGTCCATATTTATGTCTACGATGAGATGATTCGGAACAGCGTCCTGTCGGAAGTCATCAACAGTCGTCATGAGAATGTCAAGTATCTGCCTGGGATCAAGCTGCCCACAAACCTGGTGGGGCCACTATATTTTGTTACTGCAATAAGAAACAGAATTAAAACAATATCATTTTCAGGTCGCTGTTAATGATCTATTGGAAGCTGCCCAGAATGCAGATATCTTGATATTTTCCACGCCCCATGAGTTCGTCAAATCCTACTGCAACATACTGGCTGGAAATCTGAAGGAGTCTGCCTTTGCCGTGTCCATGACCAAAGGCTTGATGCGCGTGCGGGGCGAGGAGATTGGGCTTGTGTCGCACACCATCAGCGAGCGACTGGGTATCCCGTGCTACTCTATGATGTCCGCCCATAGTGCCATGGAAATGGCTCAGGGAAAGTTGTGCAAGGTTACCATCGGTTGCAACGATGATGCTCATGCCAAGCTGCTGACCGCCGTCCTGCAGACCAAAAACTGCAGAGTTATTTCTGTAAATGACGTTGATGGGGTGGAGCTTTGTGGAACGCTTTCGGACGTCATTGCCCTGGGAGCAGGATTTGCCGATGGGCTGCGTCTGGGCGAAAATGCTCGGGTGGCCGCCATCCACCTGGGCATCAAGGAGATGATGCGCTTTATCAAGACGTTCTTTCCGTCCGCCAAAATGTCGACATTCTACGAGAGCTGCGGCGTGGCGAACTCAGTGGCCTCGAGCTATGGTGCGTATAAGCTAGGAACTGTAATTTATTCATTGTAAAGGTTAAATGCCATCCTCTACAGTCAATGAAAACGCCAACTTCGCCAAGAGTCTAGTTACCTCGGGCAAAACGATTGAGGAAATAGAAGCCTACCTCCACAAGGGCCGCAGGATATTAGGACCAAAGGTGGCCAGTGATATAAATGTATTGTTACAGAGAGAGCTAATGCAACATGAGTAAGCGGAACAGTAGCGAGAAGTTGAAACATTTATGCGCTAAAAATTCCATTTAAACATACAGATTTCCGCTTTTTACGGCCATTCATCTTATTTGCCAAAGTGATGCTCCGCCGGACCTTATGCTGGAAGCACTAAGAAATCACCCAGATTTGAGGTAAAGTGAGTGCATTGTCCAAGAAAATTTTAAGCCATCCTTATTCTTTAAACAGCAATTCGTCGATATCGCAATTACTAAACCATGAGAAGGGCGAGCCAAATATGGACCTAGTGCTAGATCAAGTGGCTGACACCCTGCCCAAACTGAGGACCGCCTTAGATAAAGTATTGACCGAGGCCGGAAACGAGAGTTTTAAGCATCTAAAGGTGACGGAAGACTGGACGGAAGTCAACGACTACGACGTCGAAGAGACGGATCGGCGACAAGTGGCGTTACAGGATGAATTTGAAGAAATCCCCAATCAACTGAGTGTGCAAGCCGCCCGCCTCCATAATGACATCCTGGACGGGAATGTGCAGGTTGCCTTTAAGATGGACATTGATGAAGGCGATCGACGTGTGAGGCTCTTACTGGAGGAGGACCGAGAAGCGAACAGAACAGGGTCCGTTATATCACCCAGATTGGTTGCAGGCCAAGATAGTAATAACAGCGGCAGGGGTCAGGAACACTTTATAAACTCTTCTTCTGAGCACATGGCCAACAGGGGTCCAGACACGCCTGATGTTCTGGACCTAAGTTCCGAATCTGAGCCACTGGATTCCTTAAACAAAAACAGCCTGTCAATGGATGATCCGAAGTCAAATCCCTGCAAACTTTCAGAGTTGGCTAATCTGAAATTGAAAATTGACGAACAAGAAGCAGCCAATTTTAAAGCTCAGGAAAATCTCATAAAATCAATTAGGCAAACTATTCAAGCCCTCGGTGATAAAGAAAAAATGGAAAGTCTAATCGCTAACAGTCAAATAAAGGAGGAAACTTTGCAAACGAAAAGCCAAGGAGAGGAGGAATCTTCTCAACTGAAAAGCCAAATGGATGAGGAAACTTCTGAACCAAAAACAGAAATGGTGGAGGAAACTTCTCAACTAAAAAGCGAAATGGAAGAGGAATCTTCTCATATGACAAGCCAAATGGAGGAGGAAGCTGCTCGCATAGAGAATCAAATGGAGGAGGAACCTTCTCAACTGAATAGCCAAATGGAAGAGGAAGCCCTTGAACTCAAAGACCAAGTGGGTGAGGAAACTTCTGAACTGAAAAGCCAAATGGAGGAGGAAACATATGAACTTAAAAGCCCCGCAGATGAATCCGAATTGATTGCACACAAAGTTGAGGAAGAGCAACTTCTTGAAGAAGCAACAGACAAACAGCAGTACAAATTGAAGTCAAATACTGAAAACCTTAAAGCGCTTATGTTTAACGAATCCGAAGAGCCTTTGGAGACCGAAAAGCTTGTTGAAATGAAGCTACAAGACGAACACGATTTCGATTTGGACGAGGAGCCAGCCATAGCAAAAAGAAACCGTACTTACACTAAAGAGAACATGGAGCTCGAGGAGCTGCTCGAGTGGCAAAAACTAATGCGAAGAGAGAATGATTTTTACTCCCCAGCAGAACTGGAAGATCCCACAGCCTGGGAAGACACTTCCAGACTCCCAATCGAGCATGAAGATAGACTGCAGGATATGAATAGCAACCAGGAGGCAGAACTCATTCAGGTACGGGCAGAGAAAAAGGAGGTCAGCGGAGCAGAAAATGAGAAACTGTTGAACAAGGTGGACGATGCCAACTTCCGCTACCACAGCGAAAACAAGTGTACTGAGACTGGTCACCATGAGTGGGATTGGCTTAAGAACAATGAAAATATAGATACCGACGAGCGCATGACGGAATTTTCCATCAACGAAATAGATGAAACACTCAGCAAATCTGACCAGGATAAGCTGGAGAATCTTACACACCAACTTAATGAAGCTTTGCAGCATGATTTCGAGGTGCTGTCGGCTAGCCGGGGTGATGAGTCCAATGAAGCCCTGTCCGGCGAGGATTTAGATCCCGAAGCTGCTAAGAAAATCACGGAGCAACCCACTCCCACTCAAATTCCTGCAGTGCCTTTGCCGATGCCACTACCCAACAAACAGTCGCACATCCGTGAGGGCACTCCCCAGTTCCAGAATCCGCCCCGATCTGTTCCTCCACCTTCGCCTCAAACCAAACCGCCCTCGCCCAAGGAGCAGCAGCCCCATCCCACGAATGCACCCTTCAAATTCGAGCAAATGAATGAAGTCATTCAGCCGGAGATGTCAATCGCGGATCAGGAGGTCCCGGAGATGTCAGTTTCAGATCAGAAGGTGCCGGTGGCTAGGAAGGTGTCCAAAATAGAGCCGTTAGTTGAGCCAGTGACTAAGGATGTCTCAACGCCGGAGCCACCGAAACTCAAAGAGGAAACTTCACCTAAGCAGAGCAGGCCGGAGAACAAAAGAAACCAGCAAAGTGACTCCAGCAAACCACCTGGTGGTGCCACACCTACAGAACAACGTATAACCACGGGAATAACCGAAAAGCATCGGCGAAATATAGAAAACCAGAAGGCCCAGCTGGAGAGAATGGGAAAGAAGATCAGCGTTATGCGGAAGGGTCAAGACCGTCGGGTCAGCTACAGGGGAGAAAACCCCTTCAGTGGGCAGCCGGATCTAGAGTCGAGGCCGCCGATGGACACCAGTCACGAAAAGGACAGAGCGGGAGAGTCCCAAGGTCTGGGCCATCAGCGACGCAAGGTGGTGGTGACGCCACCCTTCCATCCCCCTATCAATCCTCGAATGCGAGTGCCACGGCCACCTTTTGATGGACGGGATCATGAGTTCCATACAATGAGCATTAGACCGGTGGGGGAACACCTTGTTTCGGCGGGAAACTGGCCGCCCATGCCTACAAATCTGAGGCCGAAGCGCACCTCCTTGGTGGCCACCATACAGGTGAAACAGTTTGGCGCACTGCCCAGCCAGGGGCAGTCTATCCAGCGACCCTGGCTGAAGATTCCCTCGGGAGTGCCCCGCACGCCCACGTTTACAAAGATCATTTGCGCCCTGCAGTTGGGACTGCTGGCCACCTACCTGGCTCAGCGAAGAAGGGACTAGTCACTGGATAAGCAGCTAAAGATCCAAAGACTTAACGAACCCTAGCTCGGCGTTTCGATTCCCCTGATGCAAGCACTAGCAGCTCTAATGAATATAGAATACTTTAATTTTTATACAAATAAAGGGTGTTACGTCTTAACTTATGGCTATAACCAGATCAGTTCTTGCAGCTGCTCCGGCTGCAGCGGCACGAAAGGTTTTCGATGGAAGATGAGCCTGTTTTCCTGCGACTGTAGTGGCCGGAAGTTCTTTTGCAGCGGACGACCCAGGTTGTCGCGGACTTGCCAGAACTTGGGCAATTCCTGGTGCGAGATGGGAAGCACTTCGCTGAACACATGCCACTGGACCACCGGTGAGCATGGTGGCGTCGTAAGGGAACCCTTGTACGTGAAGAAATTTCCTCTGTCCAGGTTTCCCAGCAACGACCCCAGAGTGATCCGTTCCTGCACCGTGTGGCTGCTGTTAAAGTTTCCCAAATGGAGCAGTGAACTGAAGATTTCATGAAGTCCGGGCTGGTAGAATGTATGACCCGCCTGAAAATAAAATAGGTCGATCAGAACTAGCCCATAATATTAAAGAAAAATCTAGATATATTCAGTATCAGTAAAAAAATCAATTTTTTTTTGAGTTGTGAGAATATATTCTTGATTTTTAAGTTAATGT